CGCGACTGGAGTACCCCATCCAAGTTGTCTACTCGGGGCGCACGAAAGACGTCACCCTCATTGAGCGTGTCCAGCGAGACGCCACGGGAATGGTTGCCGGTCTCAAATCCGTGGACTACGAAGCGCGTCTCGCGATGCTCGATCTCTTTCCTCTGGAGTACCTTCGCCTCCGAGGGGACCTAATTCTTACTTATGTCCTTTTTGAACAAAGCCTGGCAAATAGGTTTTTTACCGCTGAACCAGCAAACACCCGGCGGGGACATAGTAAGAAAATTTTCAAGCTCAGGGCACACACATTCATCAGACAAAATTTTTCTCCTTTCGGGTAATAGATTCGTGGAATGACCTTTCTCTAGAGGTTGTTGACGCTCCTTCTAGAACCCAGTTTAAAACACTATTAGACACTTATTTATGCGAATCCTCGCGCTGGTCAGCATACTGCCCCGCGCCGAGAACATAAAGAGCAGTGCTACATGCTTTTTTCACTTGTGCCTTTCAGGTGGACGACAGCCACTGACCGACAAGAACAAAACCGACCCGGGAAACTTGGGCAAAAGCCTCGATCCTGTGTATCAATCCGTGAATCCGTGAATCCAATCTTCATTGGACCTTGATTTCATCCTTGGAATCTTTCATCACTGGCATCAAGCACGATATTAATGGCTATGTCCACAATTTCATCCTCAACCCCGAGTGGTGCTGACCCCACCGACCATCCCGCCTCTTTAAGTTTTCCGTTCTCCTCCATGCTATTCAGCCTACACAAAGTGAAGAAGTTACAGCCAAGGGGTGACCTAATTACATTACATCTTCTCAGGCCTCCTCCCGCCTGCGCTCCGACTGTACGACAGATAAATACTTGCCCCCAGAATAAAATATCCTGGTTTTAATTTGTTACAGCCGGCTCAGGTGTCTCTAACCCCATCATGGGTCTTGGGGCTTGCCTCTCTTTATTTGTCTCGAAATAGGCTACCCAACTCAGGAGCTTCGGTAAAAGCAGCGGCTCTGTTTGTCAATCCGATAATTCTTAGCCCCGGTGAACGGGACTACGGGCCTTTGCTTCTTGGATCTGTTGAATCCAATGGACCAAGCGGGTTCTTATTTCACCGAATCTGTCTGCTGGTAGTGGTCTATCATCGTTTGTCTGTCAGTATTTCTACTGGTTACCCAAAAAATATGTTCCCAACAACGGCACCCGCCGCTAAACACCGAACTTCTAGCATGTGCATTGACTAGAGGAAGTGTTGTGAAGGGAGAAGATGCAGGAAGACAAGACGAATTGGTCTGGCGTCGGTGCAACTGGAACGGATTCATCCACGGGACTGGGACGGATTGAGCCAATCAGGAGCCACTTATACATAGTCCGCGGCCGATTCCTTCCGCGGGGTCTAACCCGCGTGGCTCTCCGAGATGCAGTCTACCGGCGCTGATTATCTTGAAGGTTTGTCCGTTCGCAGCTCTTCGTACTAAACTGTCGGGTGAATTCATGGTGTCTGTCATAAATGTGTATCCTCAACCGACTTCGGAAAAGTTTTTCTTATCACTCCAAGAGGTGCCCTCTCCCGAACTGCTACGCGGCGCTTCAATTTTCACTCGGGCTACAGTAGCTTGAACGTCATTCTTATAGGCTTGATATCGGAAATGAGGACTATGCACTAGTTTTTTGCCACATGTGTATTGGTGTACACGCCGCCAACATTAAAGTGGTTTGGCCACCAAACCAGCGTACCACCATGATTTGAATAGTTGTAGTACGGGGTGATTACGACCTAAATCCGCAGGAGAATTATGAAATACAGTCGAAGACTAACAAAGTGAAAGTAAGGCTGTCGCTCTTCCTATTCATAACTTTCGTGCAACCCAAACGACGGACGAGGACTTAGATAATGCAAGTTTGCCCAGGCCCAGACAGCAGCAGTGTTGGGGCCGAGAAGTGGTTCGCAGCACGTCCTTCCGGTCAGGAGTTTCATGTATTAACTACTGAGCTGTCTCGAGGGGAAAACTTATAAATATTACCGAGAGTCTGTTACAGAGAGACGATAAGTAAAAGTGGTTTGTCACTGAAAAAATCTGAAAGTTTCCGGACTTTTTTGGAAAATAGTTCAGATGACCTGCCACAGCATAACCGTTGAAGGCAATGATTACGGCTGCATGAACCATTAGGTATCTACCAGAAGCACTGAAAATCGAGATGGCCATGGGTCTGGGTGGATTGCACCCGGCACTAATCAAAGAACGTGGAGAAGCTGCTATAAGCCCCCGACAAGATTTGTCCACGACAGAGAAGTTGAGGAAAGGGAACCTACGACCATGAAAAACGTACGCAAACGTGATGTGCAGTTGTCTGCGGTCAATGAAAAACATGGATGAACTGTGTGATCATTAGATTCCGAATGGAGCGTGCTCCAGCGTTAAGCAGAATTGCACTGTGGATTGATCGGTAGCTAAAACGTGAAAGGTATATCGTTTGGACAAAACTGCGGCGGTTATTCCGGGCACTTGGCGACCAAAAACAATTCTAGATGTCGAACAAGTTCAATGCAAACAGCGTCGCATCACCGATCTCAGGGAATGGGTAAACTATTCATGCTTATCCACGGTAGGGAAACAACAAAACTAGATTACTGAAGAACCATTTCTGGTTCACACCCACAAGGAGGTCCGTCGTGCCAAAGACGGTGCCAGCTAGGGATTACTATTGCGAAGAAACTAACACCCCCAAATGCTCAGAATAGGGTGGGTTCCAACTACTGAGACGACCGTATACGGAGAAATCCCTCCCGAATGAGATGAATAAGTCTCTGGTTCTTTGCCCTCCGGCGCCTGTATTGGGTGTGATAACTGCGGGACTAGTAAACTTATACTGTGCTTTTAAGGTACCCAAGGCCTGGGAATGATCACTGATTAAACCGTTCTCTGAAGACCGTAGGGGACCACATTCTTTGCAACTATCGACCGTTTGACTTGATCTGTGTGGTGGACAGCTCATGGAAATGTGCACCAAGGAGTTACTTTTGTACACTTCTAACAGTTTAACATGATTCAACATCAAGCTCACATCATCATCGTCATGTCCAAGCTTGTTTACATGTGGCTTTGGCTACCAGGTTTACGTTGGTCGATAGTCTTGGAAAATGGGCGTTGGTAGCTACACAATTGACGCGTGAATCCGGAAATGACAGCAGTTTTTGTATTTGGAGGGCTACGCATTAAGAGTAACAGACTGGATACATGCGCTCCACTGAGCGCGCGACGGCGCTGTGTCTGTTAATCTCTCTAGCCATTGATATGTCCTGTCTCGGGTTGTCAAGGGGCGAGATGGTTCAGTGATTAGAGCGC